GATGCTCATTTTAAGCCCAAGACTCTCAAGCCTGGAGAGTCACCTCAGCTTGTATTTGCAAGTGAACCCAACAGACTATATCACTTTTGATGCTGGTTGACTTTTGCATGCAATACAGTTCTTGCTGCAAGGATTAAACGTTGAGTGAAAACTGGTTCTCAAGAAAAAAATGGTGAACTGCATCTTTCCAACAAGCTCGAGAGATACCTCACTGTCTTGGGTCCCACATAGGACTGATTCAGGGTATTTCTTTTTCAGTCCTGTTGCTGCAAAGCTTGCCCAATTTGCTTTCACTGGTGTAACGTTTTTATTTGGCCATACTGAGCTTCTACAAGGTTTAAGCTACACTACACCACGAGCAGACTTGTGATTTGGCATTTGACTTTGTCTCAAAGAGCCCTGTGCACAGCTACCGCAAAGTGTCACCACAGCTCAGAGAAACTTATCATCTGGAAGACATAAGCCAAGCCAGAGATATTATTACAAACAGATATCAAAGAGGAAAAATTATATGTTAAGTTATGCAGGAAGAGCTATGTACATGAAAAAGGACTAGAGACTTGGTCTCTGATCTTGTAAATCTCTGCTTAACTACATAACACATTAATTTCTTGACTTTTCACATGGTTAGTTCTTAGTTAGTTCTCAGGGTAGAGACAGAAAAACATTGAGCAGAAGGACATAGAACCTAACTGGAAGCATTATTCAGAAAAAAAGATTACAAGAATGAAGTGAGAACAATAGTGGCTTTTGTAATGATTGGCACATGAATGAGTTCATTGGAAATGTAAACACAGAAAGAGACTGTCAGAGAGGGCATAAGATGAGCAACTCAGACTGATGAATAACTGTGGAAGTGGTTAAGACTTCCTGCTCACCAGTGATGTAAAAAGAGGTTGGGCTAACAGGAAGGAGTAAGGGCAGCATTCCCCTCAACATGTTCAGCTGTGTCTGCCTCTTTCTGCACAAGTTTAAATCTCGATGCTGGTTGGTTCAGCACTTCTATGTCCATCGTTACCTGAGCAATAATCTCGTGTTTTTGTGGGTAGCTGTTGGTGACCGCTACCCTCTGAGAGGTCCTTGCTACCCCCTATGAAAAAGAACATAAAAATGGGTACTCCTGTGGAGCTCTTGATAACTGAGGCAAACTTGGAAACCCAGACATTCATAGCTCTTAGATATTTTTAATCATAGCTGCTGAGGCAACTCAACTCCCGTACAAATGTACAAGCTAATTTTACAGGATTTCGTATTCTTTCAGTAGCAAGACTGATTCCTGGAGGTGGATATATTTAACTGACTTTCATCTGGAGGTTGTTTTTCTCTGATATTGTTTCTTTTTTTTGCTATATCCCAAATTTTATTGGCAAGTATAAGTCATCAAAATTCTCAACACCTTTTGTCATGGAGACCTCCACAGACTAAGCTGCTGTTACATCGCTGCCTGTGAATGGGCTGAGCAGCCCTTTCTAGGCCCATTTTATTTCTGAGCATGGGGCATCTACCACTTTCTCTGCAACGTTGTGCTTAAGTGAATTGATATAGTCCCCTCTAGTCCCACAGGAAAAATGCAGGATAAATATGGCACAATCACCAAACCTCCTCAAAATTTGAAAGCATCTCTTTGCAGAGTAAAGCCAAATCCTGTATTTGCATATTTGCCTGCTGTTGACATAGGCTGTTCTTTGGCAAAAGCTCTTGGAGATATTAAGTCCTTTTGCAGTTCTGTGTTCAGAATGCATCAACATCTGCAGTACACCTGAAAAGACCTTTTTCTGTTTCTGTCCAAAGCTTATTTGCTACTCAGAGATGAATCAGAAGAGAAGCAGTGAATCAGTAAGCTGTGGACTTATGTTCTCTGACATAAGAACAATGTTCTTAAATGCTAAGATGGGCTGTAGCTCCAGGTTATTCAGAGATTATAATGGCTCCTTCCTCTCTTAGGCAGCAAGATGAGCAAAGGCTTGCTATGGAGATTAACTTCCATAGAAAGGGGGATACAGAAATCATCACTCCTTTCCAGATTTGCTTTGTACCTTGCACTGACATAGGTCAAATAGAGCTTGTGAGAGGAAGGTTACATGTCAACAATGACAAAGTTGCTCTTGGGTTTATGTGGAAGAGCCTAATCTGCACAGCAACCATCATTTAGCTCTCACAACCTCCAGTTGTGTTCAAATGCTGCCTGGTGAAACACTTGTGTCTGAGCAGGCTAGATCATAACAAAACAATAAATAGGAAACTGGATTGCATTGGTCTCTGGTAAAAGTTCACTGTATGCAACCATTATTTCTGCTGCTTTCTTTAAAAAAAAAAAAAATGAACAAGGACTTATCATATATTGAATTCTTCCTATGGAAAGAACAGTCAAATATCAGCTTGTTAATAAGATTCTGGAGATAGTATTTTTTCCAAGTAGAACTTCAAACTCTCTGCCACTTTGGACACTGGCTGTGAAGAATGTGGTATTGCCTGAAGCACACTGTAGCTTTTGACTGTGAGCAAACACAAATATATTACTAATATTTACACACTAGTTTATATTAGTATATATTAGTATATACTAATAATACTATTTCCTTCAGAAATAAACTGAAGGTTTATGGGCAGCTTCCAACTCAGGATATTCTATGATATAGAATATCATATCATATTCAGCCATATTCTGAAATTGAAAGAACAGCCCTAGCCTCATAGATTTCAAATTTACTGATATTGAGAGCTACCAGTTATTGTGCCAGCTCCTTGGGAGACTCCCTGCCTAAGCTCAGCCAGAGATCTGGGCGTGGCCCAGGGAAGTACTGCCCTTTCCGATGTTCACAGCACAGTATCAGCCTCACCTATAGAGAAATTAATTCCCTAATGAGATTCCAACTTTAAAATAATAGTACCTTAAGGGAGACAGCAAAATAAAAGCATACTTTAAAAACAAGCATTAACTTTCAGAGTGGTAGTTTTATTTGTATGCATTCAATAGCACACATGCTCTTTCATAGTAATACAAACATAGCGACCAAGACACATCCATACCAGGTGTGATCAGTACTCCATTTCAAAGGATTCAAAAGCAGATTCCAGAAACTCCATAGGAGGCAATGACAGGACAACTGGCTCCCAGAAGAAACTTTCTGCTAATCGCCATCAATGTAACGCTTGGACAATTTCAAAAAAACGTGAAGTCTTATATCCCTTAGAAAAGTAATGTACATATTATAGAACAATCTGTATTTCTTACTTATAGATTTCTGTACAGTAATGTTTACAATATATTGCAAAGATTTCAGTCGCTATCTGATTGCAAATACTTGCTTCCAGGCCGTAAACCCCAGACTTTGTACCTCTCTCCTGTTATGCTATAGCCACAGACATTGTCCCTTGTCACAGCATTGGAGCACCTTGAAACACTTGGGTGTAAACAGCAGTTCACTCTGCACACTCACACAACATTTGACTATTTTTGTTTACATAGTTCTAGTCAAACAAAATCATTCAATTTATGACTTGCCTTAGTCCTCAGCCCCAGTTCAAGCTCCCCAAAAAACTGGAAAACCAACTCCACTGCTAAAACTTCTGTTAAAACTGCAATGGCCCACTTAACCACAACTTATCACTAAAGCTGAAAAATCTCACCCCTTCCAAAGCATGTCTTTTGTAATCAAATAGTGAAAAAAAACCCAAACAAACAACAAAACTATCTGGATAATTTTTTGAGAAAAGGACAGGTAGTGACTAACATTAGCAAGTTTTTCTTATTTTGAGGGATACATCTGAAAGACCAAGAAGGAAAAAGGAGAAGCCTGTACATGTAACAGTAACAGGAGCTGAATGAAGACCAGAGCTCCCACCATTTGGAAAAAGCACTGAATTACCCATTCCCAAGATGTATGGAGAAACAATAGTCTGAAAAAATAGAAAAAAAAGTCTGTTGCTGTTCTGACATACTGGGAAGTGTAAATTATTGGCTTTCCCAGAGGTATTATTAAATAAAGGGAATCTATAACTTATTAGGGAAAGTTCTTAGACAGGCCCACATCATCTCTGAAGTAAATGATACCGGGAGAGCTTGGGATTCCTATAGAGTTTGAACAAAGCCAGAGAAATTTTGCCACATATCAGCATGGAACCCCAACCCCACAAAACTATATACTAAGAAAAAAGGAGGGATTAAAAAAATGTTCAGAATGGGGCCAGTTCTGATTTCACTAACCTCTGCCATTAAACCTTCATTGGTTTTGAGAGAGGCTGATATTTGCTATTTTCAAGAAAATTAAACAAAATATACAAAATAATTATCTTCTCTTGTGGCGGGGCACTGAATTGTAATGCAAAAGATTTCTCCTGCACTCTGAGCTGTCTACAGGCATCCATATTTTCAAAGAAAAGCAATCCTTAGCTCTGACAACTGCATATAAACAAACATGTATGTGGTATGGCACCTTGCAAACTGAGCACAAACAGAGCAGATGTATCATGTTCCTGGCTAATAAACCTAGACTCGTGCCTTAAAAACCTGCACCTTAAGTGCAAAATTCTCACTGTATTAGCAGCATCTTGGAGTTTTCTGAGAATCATCCTTTCATAATAATGTAACAAATACATGGAAATTTCATTATTTAAGAAAATATCTGCCTGTACTATCTCCCCTCTATGTCTGCAGGAGCTCACTCACACAGACTAGTTAGTTTTCTCCCAAGTAAAAAGTGAGTTCAACAATTATTTTATCTGGAATTGTTCTCCAGTTATCTCGAGAACTTCAGACATGTAGACCTTAGTATGTAACACTAGAAACAGAAGACAAATGCCCTGCATTCCTGAACTGTTGCTGTAATTTAGAACCAACCATCCAGGAACTGACAAGCACATTTACCTGGCCTGGCTGTGCCTCAATATGCCTTCTTGCCTTGCATGCAGGGATGCTGTCTTGCACAGCCCTACTGCTAGGGAAGTTTGGCTTTACAGAGCCTGAGATACAGTTTCCTAACGTGATTCTGTAATGCAATGTCAGAGTCGGGCATAAATTGCAAACAAACTGAACTGTTCTGCAAGAAGAAACAATGCATAACCCTCCCTCAATACTTTTTTCTTGGAACCATGCTCCTGGAAGTATTTTGGGCTATTCTTCCCCAGTGGCTGAGCAAGCTGTGTGACAAACTAGCAAGAGCAAACTAGGTACACCAATTTGGTTTGAATACTCGCAGAGAAAGAGAGGTTTGGTAAGGATTTAGCTTACAATATGTTTGCCAAGTATCCCAGATAAAGTTGCCAATTAGTCCTCACCAGCCAAGAAGATGATGTTGAATGTCAGGATGAGCCTCTGGTCATACAGCCCTGGTAAGACAGAGCTTTTGAACATGCAGGTGGAGTGTGTCTGTCTGCAAGGACATGCCTGACCCAGAGGTCACTGACACTTCATTCCCTCTTTCTCCCCATATCCCTGTTGACAAATTCATTGCTGGAAGGAGATGGGTGCACAACACAGACCTTCTGTCACAGTTTGGACTGGCATCCTGAGGCAGTGAGCTGATGTTGAATGTTATTTTGGATGGCAGCTGCTGTCACACTTCACTTTTCCAGGGGCTGTAGTTTTGTGCTGTCTTGCTGGGGCACAGTTCACAATCTCCACTTGTCAGCACAGTCTTCGACACCCTTGGGCTTGACAAGAGTGAGGCTTCCAAGGGAGGAGGGTGAGGGTAGGAGGCAATAATAAAATACTAAACTTGGAAAAAGTAGTCATCAGCCAGATGAGGGAAGAGTTTCTTCCTGTGTCTGGTTTTGTTCAACTTCCAAGTCAAGAATTCTGAAGAAAGAAGAAAAAAAGTGTCATTTGCTATTTATCACATCAGACAAGCATAAGGTGATACTCTAAAGCTTTTATTCAGCTGCTTATGGCTACTGCCAACATAGTAAATTCTCCACTCAGAAGATCTCTACTTGAATAATGCCTATCCATTTTAAAAGGATGCTGAAACTCAAGGCTTAATAATCTTGATTCAGCTCAGGAAGGAGAACACAAAATGAGCCCTCTGTCTTAGAATCAAGCAGGACAGAGAGGGGAAGGAGCTCAACTACAGGCTGAACTACAGCTGATTCCAGGCAGTGTTCCACCATGAAACAGCAATGCCCATCTTGCTAAAGAACTCAGTTTTCTGAAGCTCACAACCCACGCTCAGACTCTGCAATCACCACTCTGATGATATATGTTAAAGAACCTGATCCTTCAAATAGCTCGTTTATTTATATGGTGCTTCACTGGGGCCTGGAGAGTTCATGAAAAATTAAATGGAGAACATAAAATATGAATGGAATGATCACTGGCCCATAAAAGCCCTGCAGTTCTTGAAAGGTTTTATACATAATGAATGTTGGGATTTCAGAAAACAAGTTCCTGCCCCCTTGTCCAAAGAAGGTGCAACAATTTTAAAACCTCTGTATAAAACAAGGAACTTCCGAGGATGTGCTTGGGAGAGTCAGAAACATTTGCTCCCCAGTGCTGCACAGGAGTCCACTATCCATTAATAATCAGTAAGCAAACTAAACAGAGCCAAATACTTGAATATTTTGAAAACACAGATATTCAACTTGATGCTTCATTATCAAAGAAAGTGTAGGATTGAATGAAAATTTTGATCAGAACTAAACGATTTATCTTGCAATCACGTGGTGATAACAACTGTCTCCTTAAAATCTTCCCAGTAGATGTAACATTTAACTTATGGTAATTCTTAATGACCCTTGTCCTTTATTCTGGGTGCTGTGTACAGGTAGTTTTAGTTGACCCCTCTGAACTTCCTGCTTCTGTGGCCTAAATGACATTCTCAGTTTTCAGAAAATACCCTACTGCTGAGATCTGTCAGCTACAAATCAGCCCTAGTATCCTTAAAAATAGGTTTATAATAAGTGTTTCAATTAATGTTTCCTAGGCTGTCAAAAATGTTGGTACCACAGGCAATTGGCACTGTAAATTGCCAGCGTAAAGTGCTCCCTTTTTCTAGGTATTAAAGTTATTGCAGAATGACAACAGACTGACCTGAATGAGCTTGCTGTGTACTTCATGGAGATCTTTAAATCAACCTGTTAGAATATGTGCTATGAACTAAACCACCATTTTATCTTCTATGCTAAAAACAAAAAGCCATTGACCAAACCCATGTGAAGTTCCAGTGGTTCAGCCCCTAGAAAAGGGCTTCTCCCCTCCTGCCCTTGCCTTTGCCCTGGTGCAGCACCTTCTCTGCAGACTGCAAGCTCCCCGGGGTGCTCACCAGCATCTCCTGCCTCAGCTGCAGCACTGGACATCCTAACACTGTGCAAATGGATGGGGAAAGGGCCAACTGCTCCCTCTGTGGTCTTCTGGCCCTAGACCCTAAACCCAGCAAGGGCATTCAGGAGCAAAACAATCTTTCATTTGTTTGTTTTTCTTGAGTGGTTCATGCTTGCTGTAATCTGCCTCCCATCCTCTGTGTTTAACACAGGTTAGCAGCTGCAAGGAGGTTCACAATGACCACCTTCCCCATTTCATTTTGCATATCTCCCTGGCCTTTTACACACAGGGATGAACAAAGAGAAGTGATTAGTTCAGGAGAGCCCTTTCTTCTCTCTCAGGTAGTCTGGGAAAGGATCTGTTACATAATAACACTTCTTAAAGTTGTCAGCCAGACACCTGACAAGCATTCTTATCTGCAAGGGCTGGAAATGTTTATGTGAAAATGGCTCTCTCCCCCTCTTCCTCTTCTTGCAAGAAGAAAATAGGCTTTTGAGAAAAGTTCCATTCTAAAAGTTAACCAAATTTCACATAATTAAAACCAATTTTAATGAAGTAAATGGATTATTGTATTACACAGATTAAAGGAATTGGGAGCGACAGCCCCACATCCATGCAGGAAAGCGGCTCAAGCACTACATTTCTCCACATTCACAAGGCCCACATGCTCCATCAACAGCTGTGTCTACACCAAGTGATGTTCTTCTCACGCACCAATTACAAACTGTCAGAAAATATACATGTAATCCTTCATATCAAGGCCTATTCATGCAATTTTTAAATACCACACTGTAAGCTGTGGTACTTATCCTAAGGGCATTATGTACTGGGAGGAGAAAAACTGTTATCTCCTAGATCAATACCAAAGGCTCCACGAATATAGTTCTTTTTCAGGAGATCATATGCAAAATAAACAACACTTCTTTAAAAACCAGGATATCGGCTTTTAGCAGGTCTAAATTTGTTCTGCTTCTCTCTGTGAAGTAATTGATTTGCAAGTCCAGATCCACACATTCGTATTAGTTACCTTTAGTTTAAACACTGAATCACCCCTCTGACCAAGGCAAACCGCACAACCCATTCCCAGCTACCACTGCCAAACCACATGGCACAACCCACTGCTGAAGAAAACCCAAAGCCTGTGAAACACTAGGGGGTCACCTGGAACAAACTTATGGTCCCAACAGAAAGCTGTGGAGGAAATAAGATTGCTAGCAGGACCACTGACTCAGTTTTTCTTTCCTGATACTTGGGGGCACCTATGTATAAGGGGAAGGAGAGAGAGTGAAGGAAAGTAAGGAGGGGAAAACTGTAGCAGTATAGTATAAATACAGTGTACTCCTAATGAGTAAGAGTTTCATTTCAGTCTGTTATCCAAGCAACTGTAACCAAAGGTTTTCTAAGTTGTTTGGGGTTTTTTTTGACTATTTGCAAAGCAGGAATCTGCAGAGTACAGGCATCCTTCACAGACACTGAATCTTTAATTTCATGTACACGGTCTGATCTAAACCTGGCAAGCTGCAAGCATTAATTTGTTTTTATTTTGCTTTTTGTAACAACACGTATTTCTGCTTTGCAAAAAAGCCATACTTGGAACACATGGTAAACAAAATATATTTTCCTTTAGCCCTTCATGAAAAGATAATATAAACTAAGAAAAGCCAACTGCTCTAAAGAGGAAAGAGAAATACACAAATCGCCAGGGCGAGGCTTTGCACACACCTTGAGTTCCCCAGGCTGCAATGTACGCTGAAAGAAGCCATCACGCCAGTTCCTGAATCACCTTGTTATTCTCCTTGGCTTTCTTACACGTGTACAACCATTTGATTATCCGAGCATTCCGCTCAATCACAGAGGTGCTGCTGGGGACCTGCTCTGTGAGTTCATCCTCCAGAAGCCCCTCATCCCCACTGTGCCTCGTAAAGTCACTCTCGGATGTTGCCACACTGATGCTGCGGATCTTGAAGGAGACATTGTCAGACACCACGGAGAAGTTCTCTCTTCCAAGGTCCTCAATGACCTCCTGCTCGAGGCCACAGTACTTGAAAAATGTATCAAACTCAGCGAAGGACTTGGAGTAGCGAGAGCTGATGTCCGACTGGGAGCGATGGAGACCTCTCCTCTTCACCTCCTTGACCTCTTCAGGAGGTATACTCAGGTTTGAGGGCCCCTCATGCTCTTTTGTACATACCTCTGGGACTTCGGTGCTCACAGGAACAGTTTGCTCCACGGCATGGTCGCTTGGCTCACGGTCACCATCTTTTGCCGAGAGAGGCTCGTTGCTCTCGGTGGCCGCGGTGTCCTCCATGACTCTGGGCAACTCAGGGGAAGGCAACTGCTTTTCCTTTACCGACCCATGGAAGATTCTCCTCACCAAGTTCCCCCGCGAGCTGTCCTGGCTTTGACCTCTCCCAAACTCGCATTTCTGACGATAAATCACGAGGGAATCCGGCCGCATCTGCCTCTTGTGGGTGCTGCGCCTGGCGATGGGGGGGCCGTGCTGCAAGGGGGCGCGGCAGGAGTATGCCGCCTTGGCCAGCTCCAGGGGCTTCGCGCCCTTCCCTCTGCCCAAGTCCCTGCTGACTGCTTTGCTCTCCACCGAACAGGTCTCGCTGCTGCTCTCCGAGGCTGAGCTGAGCGAGATGACGGGCTCCTGCCTGGTGCTGATGACCTGCTGGCTCTTTACATACTTGGCCTTATCGGCGGCCAGTCTCTCCACGGCACTTTTCCTGCCCGGGTTGCCGGCCTCCATCTGCCTGCGGAGGTACTCGGGCCCCTTGTTGAGGAGCCGCAGGGGGAGGGAGGAGTGCAGGTCGGAGATGGCGTGCATTCCCACGGCCCGGGAGAGTTCAGCTGGCATAGCAGTTTCAGGGACGCGGATCCTGCTTCCAGTCCCAGGGAGGGAAGATTAAAAAAAAAAAAGAAAAGAAAAGAAAAAAAAACCAAACAAACAATCCAAAACAAAACAGAAAGCGGTGGAGGGCAGTCTGTTAGCCTGTGCGCGGCGGCGGCTCCGGCGGCTCCTCCGAGGGCCAAGTTCCGCGCTCTGCCGCGCCGTCGGAGCGCCGCGTGTCCCGCCCGCGCCTCCCGCCCGCCCCGCGGCCGGGCACAGCCAATCCCGGCCCGCAGGAAGGCAGGGAAAGAGGGAGGGAGCCGCTCCGCTGGGGGCAGCGGCCCGGCCCCCGCCGCCTCCCGCGGTGCAGGGACGGACGGGGCTCCGGGGACACGTCCGTGTCGGGGCGCCCGCACCGATGGCGGCGCACTCTGGGGGTTTGCTCCGCTCAGAAGCATCCTCTCCAGGGCCGCCTCCGAGGGACGGGGCGCTGCTCTAGGGACTGACCCGGCGGACCCCAGCGCATCTTCCCTTGCCGGGGCAACACCTTACACCGCTCCCTTCGCGGCGGCCCTTTTACTTCTCAGTGGCTCCCCCGCTTCCCACGCAGATTTAACTGCCCGGCCTTGCCGGGTGCTGAGCTCAAAGGCATTCCTGCCGTTGGAATGGTTTGGAAAGGACGGGGCTCGGGCTTCCAGCGCATAGCGGAGGAGCAGGGTCTGGGCACGCCGGGTGGGCAGCACAGATGTGCCTCCAGCTGTGCCTCCAGCTGTGCTAGCAGCATCCTGTCCTTCCCGGGTCATCGGCAGCAGCAGGGAGATATTAGTCCCTGGCCCACAGCTGAGCTGCGGCTGTGCACGAATAAAGTGCTGTGGAATGGCATAAATCTGAATTGCTTGTTATAAATCTTTGCCCTTCAGAAACACAGGGAAGATTTCCAAAGGGGCAGAATTCCCACCTGGGACTGGCAATTCTGAAGAAGCAGGACAGAGTCATTGGTTGTAATGTAAACACTGGAAAATTAGACATTCAAGTCATAGGTAATCACCTGGGGCAGTTCAACTTTAACTTGTGATCACATGTGAAATGCAGCTCCTCTGAGGTCAATAATAACTGAATTATAGATAACTTTTCTTATATAGGTAACAAAAGCCAGTTTATATTTGTAAGGTTTTCCATGCCTATTTTTTGTTGGTTTGGGCATAGTTTGTCTGTTACTTCTGTGGGATTATAAAATCAGAACACTTTTGTAGTGATTGATTCATACTTGATCTTTATAATCACAAAATTGTGGCAAAAAAGTTTACAAAGGGAAAGATGAGCTATGGGCCTCTCTGTCCTTCATGATGCAGTTTCAGGGTATATGACTTTGCTACCAGCAATGTTCTCATTGTGACAAAGGAAGTGTTAAAAGCGATCCTGGAGTTAGAGTTTGGTCTAGCTATTCAGTGAAGACCATCTTAGAAACACAAAACCCAGAAATATTCTCTTGCCATCATGGTTCTACTGCTGGTTTCCCCCTTAATTTTATGTCATCTTTGTTTCTAGACATGTAGGTCTGAACTCCAGAAGTCCTATAACACCATACAACTGCCTGTTCACAGCAAAGATCTCAGATATGATGCTTACCTGAAGCAGGACTGAAATTAGTGACATACTTTAAGATCACTTAGAGTGAAATTCTTGTAATTATGTGGAATGGGTGTATTTTTTTAAGAAAGAACCTTTTTTTCTTCTACAGGTAAACAAGCAGAGCTTCTTCACATAATGACTTGCCTAAAAATTAATATTCTCAAAATCTAAGAGATAATAATTAAAGTTTAAGCACAGTTAATTACCAGGGAGCACTTTCCAGTTAAAGCAGTTCATACAGAGATGTGTAAGAGTGTAGTTAATATCATTATGTATTTAAATGCTTCATGGGATGCTGGGCATATAGAGAAGACAAATGCCTTCTGACAATAAATCTGAGCAATAAGCTGATAGATGTGCAGAATTTAGCAGTGAGATTAAAGTTTCATTCCCATCTTCACAAATCTGTCTGAATTTTTTCCTTCAATCTTTTCTTTGGAGTTCTATGGCACCGCATAACATAACAACACATATTTACATTCCCCCATGCATTTTAATTTGTGTTTGTTCCAGTTTCTAGTGCCTTGTACGTCTGAGCTTTCAGAACTTACAAAAAATTAATTTGTTTGCAGTATTTTGGAATAATAAGAAAAATGAACATGTGAGTATCAGTAAGAGCTGTCTTATCAAACAACTCCAATTAATTTCTTTATCAAAGCTGTTTATTCACTCATTGCCACATGCAAAAGCCACTAGAAAAAGCAGATATTCTATATTTTTTCTCAGTGGACAATAGATTTTTGTTTAGAGTTGTTATACAAAAACAATGGAAAAATACTGTTTTGGATGAAAAAAAAGGTTTAAAACATTTTAAGGAAAAAAAAAGGGGGGGGACATTTTCCTTTCTCTTAAAGTGTCCAAATGTCCTTGGTTTTGAATGCATGCCTGGAAGACAAACCTGGGAACTTTTGTTGGAACATTTTAATTTTCAGCCTGTTTTATCCCTTTCTCACTGACAAAGGAAGATGTGAGTTTTGATTTCCCACAAAGTGCATGTCACAAGAAATTTCTCATGAAAAATTGCAACAGCAATTTTCAGCTGCCTTTTCTGATATGTGCGATACTTTTCCTTGAGAATGACAACAACATTTAAAGTGGGGGAAGGGTCTTCCCAGAGTCAGGAAACATTGTGAGCAACAAAATTTTATAACCCTGTCTCCTTTAGTAAGGTACATCAGTATAGCAGCTGCTCAGTTATGTGATATTTTAAAAATATTTAGGTCATGTATTTTAAAACTTAAATGCGCTTTGGTTTAAAATATGATTCTATGCTTTGAAATATTTATATTTCTATCTCTTGGAATTAGCTCTTACATTTATGGATACACTCTTACAATGTACAAAGAAGAGTGAACCATAGCATTTCTTCTTTCTGGAAAGCGGAGAGAAAGAGAGTATATTATGAAAGCCCCAGGCAAACCACCTTTGTCCCTGTCCCAGCACAGGCTTGCAGACAATAAAATGGAAATAAAAATGGGTGCAGCAGCATCAATCCCTCAGCCTGTCAGCTGTCATCAGTCTCTCTCTGGCATCAGTGCACCAGGCAAAGGTAAGAGAAACAAGTTCTGCACACATTGAGCCTTAAGCTGACACCATGGGTTTTCACACAGAACGGGAGTTTTTCAAAACACCTTTGAGTCAGCTGGCACTTAAAGTTATCACTAAACACAAAGCACTTTAATTTTAAGTGGGGTAAGACAAACCACTTCTTACTCTATTTGTATTAATAAGAGGTGTGTTTGGGGCACATTTTCCTGCAGCTGGAGACTGGAAAGTCAGTAATTGAGAGCTGCTGCAATGAGACTGTTAGCAAAAAGTACAGTGTGTGCACAGCTTAGGTCATTGTTGTCACTGCTCCTACTCCATTGCCAGTGTCAGTGACACTCCTTTGATTTACAGTGGTCAAAGTGCAAAAATGAAGTGGTGACAGTGGGAGGTAAAGGCAAAGAGGGGAGAGAAAGTGGAGCTCAAGCCCTAACAGAAGTGAGGTGCTTCCATTTTGGAGACCACCAGAACAGCTGTGTCCCAGGACTGAGGTTTCTCCCCTGCAGCAGCTCTCGGTTCTGGGCGCAGGTGTTGCAGCCCAGACCAGAGCGTGGTTTGATCCTGCTGTGGCATTCTGAGTGGTGCCACTGGGTGTCCTGTTTGCTGCACTCGGGTGACGTAAAGCAGCCATAATCCAGAAATGAACAGTTTCCAACCACATGTCTTCAGTGGGGAAATTTCAGGCCTTTCAACATGAAATCGGTGAAAGTCCCAAGTCAGATTCATGCACTAGAGGATATAGGCATGCCTGTACATCTTCAGGCAGAATTTTAAGACTCCGTGCTTGAGCACTGTACAGCAGAGGTAGATCCACGACACTTTTGTGTCCTCTTTTAACCTCTCCCACCACTGCCAGATTGCTTAACTTCCTTTCCCACCCTTGTAATTTTGGGTTGTTGGCTTCATTAAACAACTTGGCACCTTAGCCAGAAAACATCTGCCTCCTAAAATCAATCCAGCTTGTTCACGATTGCCATTAGTGGCCTTTATTTTTTAGTAGAATTTTGGAAACCCCAGGTGTACCATTTTCCAGGTTGAACAACCGTCCTGGATCTCAACAGGACAGGGTAATTTACATCATAGTGATTCATGGCAACATATGGGGAGCCTTATTAGAACAAAGAGCAGAAGCAAAGTGATGGAATATCACAGTGAGAGTAAGAGATGAAAGGGAGGACAACATGCATTACACCAGGCAGTGTCAATGGGGAAAGTGCAAGCCATAGCATGCTCCCTTCCCCTTTTATGCCATTTTGTCCCTGCAGTATGTTTGAGCCTACCAATTCCTTTTTGTCATATAGCTCTGACCTACTTAACATGAAAAAATAAAAAAAACAACCTAGGTTTGATACCTAACATATTTATGTGTTGTAGTGTTGCGATTGAATTTGATTTAAAAAACACTGATCTATTTATCTTGTTGTCTGAGGGATCAAATTCACTAAGCAATATATAAAAGGAGGGGAAGAGCCAGAGTTTTCATAGTAAAATACAGTTATGGTGCTCTAGAGGAAATAAGTGAGTTAACTCCAGACCAACTCTTCTTGATCCTGAAAGGGATTCTTTGAATTTTTAATTGAAATCCTTTATGAATGAATGCATGTTACATGTGTTAAAATAAACTTTGCATTCAGTAGAAGGTCCTTACTGTTGCTTCTGTTGTGTATGAGTTGGATAAGTGTTCCCACAGTCATAGCTTGCAGTTGTAAAATTGCCTCCCTCAGCGGTTGCAAAATCCTTTCAAACCAGCTGAGCTCATACTCAAACACTTCACCCAACACAGGGATTGGTCAGGGCACTTCTTAAGTACTTTATGCATTTTATAGGCAGCATTGAGCTAGTCTCATCTGTAGTTAGTTTTGGTCATAGAAAAGCCCTTTCACCTAATCAAAAGCCAAAACCCATAAAAAGCATTTAAAGTCATACAGATCCCCGTTGTTTTAGTGAACTTTCAGCATCTATATGTCACCTCAAAATTCTCTCTA